GTTCGATATGATTTAAAAGCGTGTTTCTCAGTAAACGAATTGTTTTGTGGAGGTATATTACTAATAAAAATGTTGACATATTATTTTCATAAGAGCTGTTAATAATACGACTCAATGAATAATAACGATAATACCTATTAGACGGGGGAAGGGTAGTTATGAATGATAATATAGTTTGTGTCAACCGGTAGCGAGTAGTTTGCATAAAATATACGAGCCCGACATGACGGCGATGGGATTGAAAACAAACCGCCGGCTTTCTGCCAATAGCTTGTCCTCATAATAAACCCTCATAATGAAAATGGATTGCCTGGCAACAGAAATTCTACTAAGACACGCGATAAATGCGGCAGTTTTGTTCATAGTCTTAGCAATGCATTATAACGTATGATGTATGATAATAATTTTTCAACTGATTATTTTAAACTGAATTGCGGTTATCTCCGTTATACAGACAAAAGTCGACTTAAGTTATAATTACTACGCTTGTAATAAATATTTATTATTTGTGTAGCTGTTTTTATATCTGCTGTAAGATGTCGTCTTTTAAAATTATTATAGGTGGTATGAAATGCCTATATAAGTTATTATTTGCGTGTCCTAATAACAAGATTTATGTGGATTTTATGATTCATATCTAAATCTGTATCTAAAGTACAAAATCAAAACTTTTTGATTTTTATAACTAACCAATAAGACTTATAAGCTATATGGAATGAATGTGAGGATCATTGGATGTAATTAAAAATCAACCGAAAGTTTCTTTTTGACATATTTAGTAAATTATTATAACAAATTAGGAGGGAATGTAGCATATTTTCTATGTTATCCTTCATTTCTCTTAACGATTGTCAATTACAGAATTTCATTTAACCATCAAATTTTGGAAATTCTGTATATTTCCATTTCCTTTTTAAATACTATTTTTACATATTTTACAAACATTCTTAATAAATTATTTCATTAGAATAATAATTGCACACTGATTATTTAGTAAAAATTACGTCGTTAAATTGAAGGATCAAATAAAATTATATTACACAAATAACCTATGTAAACCTTAGTAAAAATTCCTTTATTATTTTTCATGTTGCTGTATATTTTTTCTAATTTTAGTAGAAATTAAAAATGCTATTTTGAAATTATAAAAAAATTGGACTGAAACTCCCATTCGATTTCCATACGTTAATCGAATTACAATATTTACAAATATTTTAAAACTGTTCTTTTAGGTGGATATTTAGCAGAAAACAAATAATCAAAAATAATTCAATACACAAAATATATTTTATTCATTCTATGGTGTTTTAAATAATAATTACAATCAATTACACAAAATAAAATGTATACCAATAAAAATAAGGCATATAGATGTACCTTTTAAATGTTTAAATATACTAATGAAATTTCGTAGAAAAAAGCATATATTAATTATATAAAACAAATNTTTCTACAATGGGAACTGCGTTATTATGATTTGTTACCTTTTTTTATATATTTTTTTAAACTCTGTTTATATTATACTATATTTTTACTAATAATATTTTCGATGAATTCCCTATAATCGATATCGATATTCTTAAAATTTACTCTGAACTTGTCAAAATATAATTATAAGAATATGTCTATCTTTATTCAAAATATAATCAACAAGACTGTGGAGGCCCAACATTTCTCAGCGTAAAGCCTTGGCTGGTGCGGACACAGTTAACATCGTTAATATATATATTAAATATGTCTTCAATACACCTTTTACTATCCTTTACGTCAACTGCTTCACGTTATCTAACAATAATTGGCATAGTCCTTCATGGCTAGCGAGTAAACACGCAGAGGATTTTACTACTAAGACTAGTTAATTCTAATATAAAAATTACGCTTCCTCACTTTGTTCGGCACATTTAAGGCTGTTCATAAATTAAGGGCACAATTAGCTTTATTATGAATATAAGGTAACGTATAAGGCTTTGTATAAATGAAATTATTCTTCTTTACGGCACATTTGAGGCTGTCCAGAAATGAAGGGCACAATAATATTTAAAACCTTTATATAAAATAGAAACTGTATTTATTTCTTGTGAGAATATTAGGTAATAATAAAAATAATACTATTACTGACGCAGATTCTATGTAAGAGAATATTGATTATCAATTGCCAAAGAGAGTTGACAGAGATTCCAACACCGTGTGTTGGGTGTCGCAAAAAAAATCAATATAAAAGTTTTTATCAGACACCTCCCAGATTTATTAAGTATATAAAAAAAACATGTTTTGAAAATTTGAGATCGATAAAAAAATTTTCACAGGTCGCCCAAAGCGTTTTTCGTATTTTTACCAAAAATACCCCTTTATTATTAAAATATAATTAAAATTCTAAATTTTGGTCAATTATAATCATCTATATATGTAAAATGTTGTATTTTTAACGTAGAAAACGATTTTATAATTTTTTAATTACGTAATTTACCTAAACTTCTAAGGATATGGTACTTTTCGGATCGATCTGAAAGAGGCCAACATTTTTTTTGAAGTTTTAAAAAATTGTTAGTTAAATTAATTGTTATGTTTATTATATGGTGTAAAATTTTTTTTTACTAATAATAAAAATTAATACTTTATTTTCACGTTTTTTTAAAACTAAGTTTTGATTTTATCTCTATTGATTTCTATCAATAAAGATATCATTGTTACCCGGTATTAAGGCATAAAAATAACCATACATACTATTTATCAATTACATAATCATAAATTTATGATCTACAAGATAGATATCAAACATAAAGTCACCTTTTTTTTTGATGATAATATTGTTACAGTGTCTGATGTATTTTTCACAAGTAGTTATATATGTTTTTAAAAGTTTTTGTGTATCTGTAGATCAGCATTTTTATACATTGTAATCAAATTTATCTCTTATATTTCATCTAGCATTCACAAATATAAAAATTTTTTAGCCAACGAGAAAGTAGCACAAAGTAATTTAAAGTTTAATTTTATTGTTTCATAAAAATATATAGTGCAATAATTTATTAGCTGAAAGTATTTAATAGTAATTTTAACCTACTTAATTAATTAATAACGGCTAAAGTTTAAATAACTTCATTTTAGTAATTATGGACGGTGCTAAGTCAAAAGATTATTAGTTTATTATAACCCCAATTAAGAGGATCGTTGGTAATCGACTTCCATCAAAACATGAAGTTCTTGGCCATTTTCTATATTTTCATAATGTTAACAAAAAGACAATATCAGTTAGTGTTTTAATGTGTGCGACACAATTGATTGAAATATGGTCAAAAACAAATATTTTAATAAAGCATACTTGTCACATAGTTACACAAATAAAAAAACTCTATACTAAATGGATAAATGTAAATAAAAATAAAAATATAATTAGTACTACTCAAAATAATCACGAAGTCGCATTTGTAGAGTCATTAAACTACTTATTTGATATTAGCAATGCTAATCTGCTAATGACGCAGATTCCACGTAAGAGAATATTGATCATTAATCGCTAAAGAGTGTTGACAGAGATTTCAACACGTTTCCGTGTCTCATCCTAGGTGGGATACATCAAGATTTTAAGAAAATAATATACCAATAATAATAAATGAAATATACCCCCACAAAACAATTTGTTTACTGAGTAGTGCATACAAATAACCGTCGCATTAAAGTCACGATAAAAAAGGTATTAGGTCAACGGATGTGTTGTCTCTAAAATAAAAATAGTATTAAAGAATGAACAGCTTTTTTTTTACACTCTAAGTTTTTGAGTTTTTTATTCTCGTTGAAATAGCTTAGGTATTAATATATAATTAACTAATCCAGGTACAAGAATCCAGTAGTTGTATACAAGATCCGCATACGATTTTAATATTTCATTGAGGGATGTTATACAAAATGATTATAATGGTTTGATTTGTACACTTTTGTAACGCTGAGGGAGCTGAAAATTATGATATATAAATTATTTCTTACGCTCTGTTTTAGACATTATTATTCTACTCGTATATGCGAATTAAATTGTGTAAATGATTTTCATATATATCATACTTTAAATAAGGGAATAAAATTTCCTAATAAAATATGTTTTCTGAAATAATAATGAAAACAACATTTCTTAACAACTTTTTTTGAAATTTTAGTAACTCAATCGTTTTGATTCTGGAATCCTTAATAAATTAAATGAAGAATAATTTAAATTAGTTTTAAATGTATTGATGATCTATTGCTATGCGAAATACCACTTAATATTTACCGAAATTTTTTGGATTCAACGTATAGAAATCGGGATTGTGGATAGTTTTTTTTTCATTTTTCGACTGATTATAGCAATTGTAATTTTTTGAGAAATTTACATTTATTACGGGGATTATTTTTAAATTATACTGCTGATAGCATCAACAAGAAACGTTTTGAGTTCTTTTGATTTATTTCCAAGCAAAGTCTGTCGAGCACAAGTGAAACCAATCGTGTATAGTGACACAAGAAATATAAAACATAGCAAAGTAAAACCAATAGTTTCTCAACTAAGAATCGAAGCTAAAATAGACGTGTTTATACAGTGTAATTATTTTAATACTACCTCTTTTTTTTTTCGTGATAGTTGAAAAAGTAATTACTCTTTCAGTCTACATGTGTAAACATAATTATTTTTGTAATTAATAGAATTAATATGCCTTTTAAGAATATTGTTTAAATTGGATATTTATTTTTCAGTTGACGAAAAGATAAGGCAGCAAATATAAATTCTAAACATGTGTTTAATTTTTTTCGGGTTTTTTTTTTAAATTAGTGTAAAAAATGTTAGCAAAGTATAACTTAATTACTCAAAAATCGAGAAATTTTAAAACCAATCGGTTTTAAATTTTATTTATTAATTGTAATGACATTAACTGTGTTATAATTTTTTAGCATACTACATTGTAGTAGTTTGTTAATCCACATTTGATTCATTGATAAAATTAACCTGAGTAAAACATAAACTACAAATAATTAGTTAAATATAAATATTTTATTAACATACAAAAGTATAATATAAAAGTTTTTATAAAATGACATAGTATATTGTATTGTAGTTTTAATTATTATTTTATAAATGTGTATTTAACTTTTATTCTTAGTTTTAGTTTAGAATATAAATGTAAGTAAACATTACGGATCGTATGTCCAATTTATACGACTCAAGCATTAGCTCTTCTCAAAGTAATTCAACAAATAACTAATAAGGAACACAAATTACATTATAATATGCGACTTATTCAGGACCATCAACATTCAATTTATTCACGAATAGAGTATCTAAAGTTTTTTTTGTTTTCTTAGTATCATCTAATAAAATTTAATATTATACATAAATTGTATTATTACAATTAACATTTCCATATTTTTTTAAAAAGTTTTAATGATTTCCTGGTGTATTAATGTAGCCTATGGTTGTTTAAATTTCTCTAATTGTTTAGGCTCTATCAATTCATTAAGTTTATTCAAATTATACGCAAGATTAGGATATTTATGTTCTCATATAAATGTTATATTTGAAAAAGGTATTATTCTATAGAATAAATTTTTTATTATTCATTATATTGTGGAATTGTTGAACTCTGTTTTTTTATGACAAACTACACGGATATGATTAAATGGATGCATAAGTAAAATATTGTTACTTTAAATGCGCTGGGAGTTCATCGATTGTGTAAGCTTCTCGATTTCTGTTTCTATCAAAAAGTCGATACATTATCATATATGCGCTTGATTTTCCGCTAAAAGTACTTTCAATTTTATGTGGTGGTATCTGTGTAATAGTTATAGTCTTATAATTGTGCTATTTTCCAAAAAATGTAAATACCTACGAGAGTAATAATATCATCATTACATTCAAACCATTGTCCCGACTTGAAATCTTTTATGTATGAGTAATAGTGCCCAAAAGTGGCTTCTCCTTTATGAATGATCACTCCGTATAATTCAAATATGGAATTATAGCCATCCACATCCATTGAAATGAAAAATGGAAAAGATACTCTGACAAAAAAATTTCATTCATAACAATGTTTTTTTTACGTTTATATAAACATTACGTACTTGTCATTTATTTTTTCGGGTTTTAGACTGTTTATGTTATAATTAATCCTACCTAGATGAAAACATAAAATATATGGGAGCTCTTTAAATTGTTGCCCCTTTAGAAATTTGCTTTTTTTTCCACAAATGTCACAAAAATGTTCGTCTAATATTTCAGGTCTTAAATATTGTTTTATTGCATATTCCTATTAGTCAAGTATATTTATATAAAAAACAAATTTATTAATTTAACTTTAATTTTGCTTTTTCTACATTAAACATATGAATATAAAACGGTTCATATATATTTACCAGCGAGTCATATGATGTCTTTCCATCAATAGAGCGAATAAGCAGAGAAATATCAAAAAATATGGAATACTGTTCTTTACTTATATTGCACATAGTACAAGTAAGGTATTCGACCTGAATGCCTGACACATGATAATGAATAGTAAACACAATGAACTAATAAAATACTAATCAAGTCTAAAAAAACAGTAATGTTCATTTTTATAGTAAATACATTATACTTGCCACTGAATAAATGACTAATCATGTTAGCGGACGATGAAAGTTTCAACTTCTCGTCCAAGATGCCCAAAAAATAACGACCAAACTCTTGGACGTCTTGCTGGATATCTGTGTCCTCCTGAGTCCAATCAAGACTTTTTGTTAAGCCATTAGTCTTGACCGCCGATTTGTCAGGTCCAAGTAGTTCTACAAAAAGCCTTTGAAGTTGATAAGCTACGTTAAACCAATTGTCGTCACCGGAATCATTAGGGAATGTCAGTTCCAACAACTCGTTACGAAACTCCGGCGTATGGAACAAGACTTGGATGAAAGAATTTAAATAACAAGTTGCCCCTTGGTTTTTAATACCACGGCACACTGAAAAATAATTTATAAAGTATTGGCTATAATTGAACATTTTTCTTTACCAAATACATATTTTAAAAGTTAAACTGTTATTACCTGGCGAAACATTTTTAGCTTCAGTTTTTGGTGGTAGACTAAACAGTGGTTTCTTTGGTTCTTGGTTCTTTTGCGGAGGAGTTTCCACAACTTTTTCTACACTTTGGGTAGATTTTAAAGTGTTGAATACCGTAGACCAAGAATATATCTAATTTTATTATTATAATTAACTTTATTAGAAAACATTCAAAATGTGGATTAATAAGTTTAAAAATTATTGATGTTAAAGTCTTATATTGGTGATTAAGTTATTTAACTCTCTTTAGAGAAACGCAATTATGTTATTATCAAAATACAGCTATTGTATTGTTTATTCAACTTTAAATGGGTAATGTAATTATAATAATATTAAAAACCATAATATACGTGCTTTAAGCTCATCAAGATTTGATGGAATCGTCAAATTTACTATCTCTTCTTTCATCGTTTTCTCAATTTCGTGTTTATTATTACTAATAATTTTAGGGCTTTTTTCGTGGTCTGATTGTTTTGCATCAGGTTTGATGCAGATACAACAGAAACACTTTTTATATGTTTGCTGTAATTGATTTTTGCTAAATGTCCATACACTGCTCTTTTTATTAGTTGCTAAAGTTCGTTAAAGAATTAAGCTACAAACTTTTAGTTTTAATTTTAATTACTTACATTTTTTCGAAGATAATTTTTTTACACGAGTCCATGATCCTTTTAGTAACCCGAATAATGCTTTACTTTTATTTAATGTATTGTGAACAATTTTTAAACCCATTATACTTTTAATAAAGACAAGATCTAATCTTTTATTAAATATATTTCCNACAAGATCTAATCTTTTATTAAATATATTTCCTTAGATAATGTTTTATATTTTTATAAAAAATGGACTTAATTAAAAAAAATAAATGTTTTTTATACTTACTATGATTATACTTAGGGGTAAAGATTTTTTTCGTAAGAATACAATTTCTTAAGTTTTATAAGAACGCACAATATAGTAAAACGAAATAATTATGCTTTACGAAATTGGACTGTTAATGTAATTATTTGTACTCAATTAATTCATTTATTTACTGAACTATCACCAAGGATTTCAATTTTTTATATAACCAGTAAATTTTTTTTTAAACTAAGTGAGAATGATTTTTATAATAAACTTCAAAAAATATATTATTATTATATTATAATAAATGTATACTAATAACGAATAATTTTTTAGTTTTGACCCTTTCATTTAATATTTGTATAGAACTTTCGAAATTAACTTATTACACTGAAACTTTTATTTTACATTTTACATTTGACATTTCTATATCATTTTAGCAATGAAAATTTCTACATTTACTTAATTGAACTTTTTATAGCTTATAATGTAAGCTGAGAAAGTATTCATTTTACTATTCGTTTATTTATTTATTTGTTTGCATCAATTAATTCTTAATCTGAATTCTTAGTCTTAATTCTCACTGGATCGATTATATAGAACGATAGCTAAAAGATGTCGAGTTAAAGACATTATCTTCAAAAATTTAGAAAATTTCCTGCATTTTCCATAAATGGAGAGATCCACTAAAAATATTACATTTAAAATCAGTAAATTTTGACATTTCTATATCATTTTAGCTTCGAAGCTGAAAAGATACTAATTTTACTATTTCTTTTTTTTTTTTGTGCCTGATACCATTTATTTTCGATACTCACTGAACGGATTTTTTTCAACGATATGTCAAAAGATCACAAATCGTACCTATTTGAAAACATTGCTCTCAAATATTTCTTTCATAGATATTTTATGTCTTTACCTTTCATTTGATATATTTTTTTTTATAAATATAATTTTTTTTTACCTCTGGGCTTGTATTGGAGATTAAATTGGCTATCGTATTCAAAATTATGCTATTTTTGTGTTAAATATGTCGATTTTATATTAAAATATATATTGCCATAATTTTTGTACATAATTAAAGATCTATATAGTTTTTTTTTAAGTTCTTTTTATCCGACAAACTTCATTAAAATTGGACTATTTATCGCTATACAGGAGGATTTAAAAATTGAAATAAGAAGTAGACTATTTTTAACTTGAAATTTGATAATGTTCCAGAAATTTGGGCGCTATTATGTTAATATTAATTTAAAACATGTGTAATATTATATTTAAAATTGACCTCTCAACAAGTCTTCATGGTGAAAGCCGCCATTAAAAATTTTTTATTACCATGTTACTTTATAGATAATTTCTTAAAATATGATTTTGGGTTTCATCTGAATTTAACATGCATAACTTTTTTTTTTCAACTTTTGAATTGGAACTTTTAGCTTTGATAAGATGCTGAGAAGGTGTTAATTATATAATTAAATAATAAAAATTGTGATATGTTTTTTTATTATTAGGAATGTAAACTAAGTAATATAAATTAAAAAAAAAAAAAAATATATATATTTATATATATATACGCCAATTCAAAATTTTATGTTACTTAGATAAATGCCTAACAGTAAATAGTAAAATAAACTTGAGTTTATAAGTTTTAAGAATGAATGTCAATTTACATAATTAGTTTCTGGTGTGCTAATTCCTTCTTTATTTTTGGATTCAACTGTATGGAATTTTATTTTATACAATTCAAATTTATAATTGAATGAAAATTTTCAAACAGTTGTTAATATAAGAACTTTTTACTAGACGAATTTTTTAATATAACGGAAAATTGTATATGATTAAAGAAACGGGTTAAATAATTGATAAAATGCATATTTACAAGAAATTTTTTTACCTAAATCCTTCTATATCTCGATATACTCCGAATAATTATTTTTGTCATAAGAGTGATTTAATATATATATTACACTGTTTGTACGCTCATATATTTTTTAAACAGTTGTTCATATAATAAATANTCATATATTTTTTAAACAGTTGTTCATATAATAAATATCAAACACATTTTTTAAAGAAAATGGAAATAAATTTTAAAGTTTATATTAAAACATTATAAATAATGAATAACATTTTTTAAATATGTAATCCTATAATGCTGTAGTTTTCAATACTTAACATATTTTATTAGACAATCTTATGATTTAGTTTAAAAAATCTGTTCTCTTTTGTTTCATTAAGATGTTGATTAAAAGTAATAAATCAAATTGTGTAATTAAAGTAGTTGTAGTGTTACTTTTATTACAAGTGTACCGTAGTGATTCACTAAACACAGGATACAAGTATAACCAAATAAAGTCTGTCGAAAATATTCAGCTTTTAAAATGTTCTTATTTATTAAATGCTTTAAACTATATGAAAATAGCTAAAATATAAATATATCATCCGAGTTTTAAATTAATTAATGCATTTTATCCGATATCAACATATCTTGGAGTTTTGCATAAAATGTTGAATACGTTATTTGGTTTCAAAGGTATTGAAATAGGTTCATTGTGGTTATTAAACATTTATTTAAGCATTGTTAGTCACCACGTAAATAAATTAAAATATTTAAATAAAATGCGATACTCAATTGAGAATGAAAATACTTATCTTAAAAATACTCATGACTATGTCATGAATGAATTGGAATCCGAGGCTTTAGCAATGAAATGTAACAAAAATAATAATATATTCCTTATGGATGAAAAGAAATTTAAACAATTAGAAAATTTGCCGTTGATTGGCTTACGTAAATTTATGATTAGAATTATAGAATTCATGGACAGTTTTATTTTGATGAATACTGATTTATCGTTCATGCACTGCAAGATGTTTAGCAAAAACAATATTCTTGTTAAAAGTATAGGACACAACGTGCACAAAACATTTTATTTAATGGATGAATACAACGTACAAGTTAATTGGGGAGAAAAGGATAAAGGTACACTGCAGAATTTACAAGAAAAATACGAAAACGCACATAATCTCAATTGGAAGGACAATAATTTGATAGATATTAAAATATACTACGATTCAGTTTTTAGCTTTTTTAAAGTCATTATGTTAAGGCTAACATGGAAACATT